CCATTTTGCACAAATTTCACGGATCAAAGAAGTAGGAACATCCTCCTTTCCTTCCTTCATAATCGCCTTATCTTTGTGGTCCTGTAGTAACTCCTCCACATCTTCATTGTTAACTTCCAAGCCCATGTTTTTGCCTAGAGACACAATATCATCGATAACAGCAGAATCTTCGTTGTCAAAGCCCTCAAAGTCTCTGCCTGCAACACATTCTGGCCACAGTTTCCTCCAGGCTGAATTCATGGTCCTGTAAGTCACTTGCTGCCAGGCTTTGTCAATGAGAGTTAAGCAATGAAGAATATTAAAATGGTGTTTCCAAAAGTTTCTGAGTGTTAATTCTGTGTCAGAGGTTACCTCAAAACATCTTTGAAAAAGTGCCTTAGTATAGAGCTTCTTAAAGTTTGAAATGACCTGATGATCCATGGGCTGTATTAGAGGAGTCATGTTAGGAAGCAGGAACTTCACTGTAATAAAATCTAACTCTTCCATCAACTCGTCTGCCAAGCCAGGAGGGTGAGCAGGTGCATTATCCATCACAAGAAGGCACTTCAGTGGCAAATTGTTTTCTTGCAAGCATTTCTTCACACTTGGGGCAAAGACTTCATGAATCCACTCAATAAAACATTGCCTAGTTACTCAAGCCTTACTATTAGCCCTCCACATAACTGGCAATTTACTTTTTATCACATAGTTTTTCTTAAACACCCTCGGATTCTCCGAGTGGTACACGAGTAATGGCTTGATCTTGAAGTCCCCACTTGCATTTCCACATAGCAAAAGAGTCAGTCTGTCCTTCATTGGTTTGTGTCCCGGTAATGCTTTCACCTCTTGGGTGATGTATGTCCTCCTCGGCATTTTTTTCCAGAACAGACCGGTTTCGTCACAGTTAAACACTTGCTGGGGAATGAATCCATTAGCCTTTACATAGTCACTAAAATCTTGCACAAATTCCTCAGCAGCTTTTTGGTTCCGTCTGTGATCTTTGTTTAGTAATAACTGTCATTCCTCTTGCAACATCGGCTTTCTTGATTGTCTCTCTATTTTTAAGAATAGTACAGATCGTTGATTTTGCCATCCCAAACTGAGTAGCAAGATCAGAGACACGAACACCATTTTCATGTTTGGCTATGATTTCTTTCTTAACATCTATCATGATATTGGTATTTTTTCTTTTCACTTTGCTGCTATCATTGTCTTTCTTTGGCCCCATGCTGGATCATTCTTCTACGAATACTGCCGACGCTGGTACTCCCAGCTTATCGCTCCACGATGTTGATGGCTTGCGTGTTCGTAACTCAAGACACAGTACGTCATCCGAGACGCTTTGTGTTCGGAAAATTTGTTCGTAAGCTGAATTGTTCATGATCCGAGGCGTTCGTGAACCGAGGTTTGACTGTATATCTTACAGCCAAGTGAGATGGTTCAGGCCAGACTTACACTGGCTTAATTAAACATTTTGAGAATGGAGAATTGGTGGCAGAATTAGTCGGAGATTATGGGGTAGGGATTGAGTGATAGCATTCATGCAGTGGTGCTACCAGGTTAGTCGTCTTAGAACTGTTTCCAGTAAAGACAGCATAATGGAATTATGGGAAGAAAATGATGGTGTTGGATGCTATTTCCATTGAATCTTTGGCATGGACTTCCATGAATCCAGTAATGTTGATGTGATCATGGATGAAACTTCTTCCAGACCTAGAAGGTAATTTGCAAGGTTTTCCTAATGATGGAATCAGCTAATCCAAAGTTCTTGACATGTTGTATTCTATGAGAAATTTTGAAAACAACAATGGAGAAATGCAGAATTGCCACAGTCTGATAATTACAAACTATTTCTCAAAATAATGTCAGTTGTGTAAAGAAGTAAAGCAATTTTTGAAGTTCAGTGAATATACCAGACAGGTTATATTTTGTATTATCCATGGTTTTTGATTACTTATGTGTCTTCTTCTCTTCATTAGCCCACATCATCAGGAGTTTCCTATATTCAAGTGTAGCTTAAGCATGTAATCCAAGAAGTCATTGAAGAAAGATTAGTACAACAGACATTATCATCTGAAAAATGAAGAGCTTCTGTAAAATATATTTCAAATGTAAGAGTGGAAAGGTTTGCTCCAATGGTGAAAATTCTTTTCTGGAAAACTAAATAAAACATCCAAATTCTGTTCATGTAGCAGGACAACACAGTTTATGTGTTATTGAATAAATCTTAGTTTTGTTTGCGATTAACAAAAATCACTAGTATTAATATGAGGTAGATATGAAATAATATTCAAATGAAGTTTTTACCTTTATGAAGGAATAGCAGTGAGAAGCTTGGTATGGCTTCTTGCTGCCAACTTTTCAGTATTTGTATGTTTTTAACTATTGATATATGTAGCTTTTGTTTGTGAAATGATTATGCAGACCACACTTGGTAGCTAGGTGGAACATGTACAGCTCAGTTCAGTTTCCAGTTCATAATTGTGATTTTATAACCATAATTGAGCTTGATATTTATCTAATGCAGTAAAAGTCTGTTTGTCTTATTGTTGTGTCACATATGAAGATGTGTAAAATGGGAAACATATAACATGTCAGTGGATTTTTTGAGTGATACACCATGAGAAGTACTAATTTGTAGTCCCTAGAGTCTGAGTGATAGGCTGAGTCAGTGAAACTATGCACACAACTTGTGGACCTGCACAGCACTTTCTATTATGGGCACAGATGGGATATTGATTCTCCTCATGATACTGAAATAGGACTTCGGATATGTCAAAACGTGAACAGCGAAAGTGTGAACAAGAGTCATTTATGTTTCAGATGGATGAAACTTGTTGGATTTTAGCTTCAGTTTGCAGAGGTCCTGATTTGCATTTTGCTTAGGAAGTAAGTAAATAAGGTGATTTCACATAATGATTTGTCTTGTTGATTTGTGTACAGGTTCTAGAAGATATTCTGCTAGATCTGTACAGGACTTTGAAGACCCTGTATCAACATGAAGCAGATGATATTTTAAAAATTCATGTTCAGTTGGCATTGGAAGAATTGAATAAGTCAGTAGTCAAATTCCTATTTCCCCAACCCAAGTTGGAGAAAAGGATATATGTGATAGATCCTCCAGATTCATAGACTGTGGTGCTGCAGTTTGATTCTCATGTATATGTGATTTAAAACAGTTGACTAGAGGTTTTGTGAAGCAGTGTTGCATTGGAACTGTATCTAGATAATGTGAATGTATAACTGGGAAATTTATAGGGTTGCTAGATTCCCATGTACTCGTATTTGGGATTCTCCCCTACCTCATTTCCTGTTCCAAAGTTTATGTTACCAGCTACAGAAATTTCTGACATACTCTCCTGCAAACTGAATACCAGAAATATCTCCAGAATTTTGGTTTGCCATTTGATGCACAAAGTATCTCAGACATATTTTTTCCTTGATGATTACACTGTGGAGAAAAGAAGATAATCAGTTGGACATACATACAGAGAAAACTGTGCATTGTTTGGTAAGTAGTGTGTCATGTAGCAGATCTTATCAGAATGCACTTCAAAACAAACACAAAAGGTCTGATCTCTAAAAATGTTAAAAACTTGTTAAGTGTCATTAATTCACCAAGTTTGGTTTAATGATGTGTCTCATATTTTTAAATTATATGGCATCCCTAACAATATGTTTCCAGTGCACATTTCAAACTTCATAATGATGCCAACTTTTTAATCCTTATTTACAGCTGGAAGATGTTAATTATGTTAGGAACAGTGTAGTGTTACAATTGTGACATTTCATTAGCAAACTCTTTTTGGCTGTCTATGATTTGTAAATGAGGTGGGTTATTTAGTTCAGTGATGTGCAACTGGTGTGCTGCAGAGATCATCTGGGTGTGCCATGAAATTTTCACCTCATTATAATTATAACCATAATGAGATAAATAATTGTTTGTCTTGTTTTCTGCTGTTTCTCAGTCTCCATTTTCTTCATTATGGTCAGGCAGACAAGTTCTACTGAATGGAATTGGAAAGTAACACAACCACTTTGCAGCAAAACGTGTACCTCCACTCTGCTTTTATTGCTACTCTATGTATTTTTCTGCAAAGAGAGGCGACAGTAAATGGGAACCACATACCTATTAAATGGATTATAGATTTTATTTTCAATCAAATATTTTCTCTGCTCACATCCACTGTTTGTAAATGATGGTCATATTCCATAAAAATATTCCATGTGCAGTGGGATCTTTTGGTCGCAGGAAACTGATTTGGATACTGTGAAATAATTACATATAAAAATATGAATAAGTATCTTTAAGTTTTAATTATTACATATAGTTAATAAATTTTGGATTTAATGATATGTATATGTTTTAATTTATTTCAAATCATGAATATATTTAAAGTAATTGACATAATAATAAAGATGAATAATTATGAACATTTTTTTGTTGGGGTCGATTTGTAAGAAGTTACCATAAATCATTTACCTCCCCCCCCACAATATACAAAATGGGGTTGGTGTGCCACCATGACTCTTCAACAATATTTAGTGTGCTTCGAGTGTAGAAAGGTTGCCCAACACTGATTTAGTTTATGAAAGTCAGTGGATGCCATCAACAAGATGTACAGTGTTTTTATTGACTTATACATATCTAGATACATCCCAACATTAACTGTGTTAGTTACAATATTGTATTATACATCTTAAAATAAACAGAATGTTGTAAATTAAATTTCTTCTCTTTATCTTACAACCTTCAGAACTTCCTCCTTTGTACCACCAGTTTTAAAAACGTCTTCAATTTTAAGATTTGTGTTTTGAGTATCGGGTGATGATAATGTGGTGGGCTGGTTTGCTAACATCTTAGAGAAATTGCTTAGGCTCAGGTCAAGAAAGTCTGTAACATTTGACCTAATTTGCATATTTACTGTGCTAGGCTTTGAGGAAATCTTGTGTTCTGATTTGTTCATATGAAAGTCGGGCTTAGTGGGAACCAACATTTATAAAGGAAGGGTGTTTATTTTAAAGCCACTAAATTGGTCCTGGAGGAATGTGTGTGTGTGGACCGGTTTAATTATGTTTGGAATAATAGAAAATCATCTAAATAAGAAGACCACATCTACTGTTAAGTGACTTAAGCCAGAAGAAGGGAGATTGCTGATTTCTCCGAAATATTGACAAATTAACCTGTTACATGATATCACCGGAAAATTTGAAAACAAGTCTCAGTGAACCAACACAAAAGCCTAAAGATGGAATGCAGCATTCAGTTTTACTTTTGGATTTCTCAGTCACATGAATGCTCCTTGTGTGAAACACAACTCTTATTTGAGTATAGTGTTTAATGAGGTTTATTAATGAGCTGGAAAGGGTATGGATGGAAGCAACCATTGCTTATTTTAACGTATTATCCTGACATTTGTGTGGTGGGACTGAGTAAACCCCAGTCAGGATAGTCAACATTGAGGCAAGATTTGAAACTATTCAGAACTACTTGTTCATTATAATATGTTGACGTTGCAATTGTCTTCATGGCCTCTCCACACTACGTACAAAGAAAAGCAGAACTGTCTAAGCTGAGAATTGAATGTAACTAAATTTGTGATACTTCGAGGAGTACTACTATCAGTGACCTCTGCAGCAGGAGAACGTCTTATTGTACCTGATTTTGCATAATAGCAGGAATACCCAAAAAATTTTGGTTCTAGGGCCCTGAAAAGATAGAACTGGTATATAGTAAGTAGACATCATAGAAATATCACAGTAGTGTGTCCAAAAGACAAGACAGGCAGGTGAATTTTTGGTGTAAATAATGCTCTGAAGCCCTAAGTTCTGTAAAGTTAAATAGATACAAGCTATGTTGATACAAGTGACAGGATGGGCAACAGAAGAGATCTGCCATAAGTCACCATGATTATTGTATAATAGAGAAGTCGTATGGAGTGAAATGAACCACTTGTAATTTAGGAAACAATTTGTTCGTGACCTTTCCCTTGCAGTGGAAGACGACTATAATTGGAGACGGACTAGATTGAAAAGGAAGAAAACCTTACACCATCCCATCTGGAGAAAGAGCACATGAAACACTAAGCAAAAAGTGAATTCTGTTGTGAGACCCATGGTATTAAGACTGTGCATCTCTAATTGTTTGCAAGTGCACCAACTAAAACTAACCCTCAAATAATAAACAGTATTATGGGGAAGAAGAGTTCATTGAACCTATCTTTGTGTGTGTACAAGGAACATGGGTTTCTATCGGTGTTTGTCTGAGAGAAGTGGAACTTTTACAAAATGCATTCACTTTTTAAGGTATACACATTAATAACATCACAATCGCAATGATCAACTTCAAAGAGGTAGTTAATGTTCAGTTTGGTTGCGTTGGTTTAGTTTGCCGTTAGGTCAGGTTATGTTAGTGACTGGAATTCGCAGACGACTAAGCACAGTGATCTCGCGCTATAGGAAAGATCTGGTCAAATTTGGTTAAGTTGGGTTCGGTTAGGGGTTGGTTACTGACGCGCACTCGCTGACGAAGACCCAAGCTAATTTTTTTTACTGTGTAATCTGTGGCCAGAAGCATTGATGATGTGTCGATGAGAAAATCCCTGGTTTAAGTACAGTGTAATTCATCTCTGTCTTTGAATATCTGATTATCTGTGCTGTTTGATGTCTACCGTTTCTCAAATATTTGTGTACGCGTATAAAATGTTGAAAATGTCGGATTGTTGATAGGTTTCGCAAGTTACAGAATCTACGTACAATTTGATACATCTGTTGGTTGGAAGAACTTGGTTTGAACTTTTATTTGTTTTACTCCGGTCTTGTATTTTCAAGACATTGACTCAAGTTGAACGTGAGTACCTAGTTTTTAATTTTTTAAGAGCGTAGTTGGAATGGGTGAAAGCCAAAACTAGCGACTATAGCAATTGTTGGTATGGGTAAAAATAAAAATAAATTTTACCTGTGTAGTTTTTTTCAGTTAAAATCTTGTTCAACAAGATGTGTGATGATTTAATACTTCTTTTCTGTTCTGAGGCTAAGTGATTTTTTTTGTCTTGTGGTGTGGTTCCTGCATATTATTAAATTTGTAAACAGGAAAATACTTTTCAGTAACTTCCATACTCAAGCCTTTACATGCATACGTACAGCTTTATTGCATTTCTTGCATCCATGAATTGGTCAGATTACAATAGGATGTATATGACTATTTCATTGTTTTTTATAACCTTCTCATGTACTTCATTAAAAATAGTTTACAGTCAGAGTGGCCTGTAGTTTGTCACACTAGTTTTGTCACTTTTCTTGTCCTGTGGTCTCATTACCGACATTTAAATTCCGGTTTACAGTGACTGATTGCAAGTGTCGGCTAAATCTGTGATTAATAAAGCTGTAAAAGCTTCAACATTTTTCTTGTTGTTTTATCATAATGTAATAAGTTTTTTGATTTGAGGAAAGGTATTGTACTTTGCATCTCAGTTTCAGTGGTTGGAATAATTTTAATATCAGGAAATTTTACAGGAAATGCATATTTTAAAAATGTAGTAGCATCTTCTCTTCCTACTTGATGTAAATTTAAGCATTTGATAATTGTCAGAAAAAATCATTGAAGACATAATCAACTGTTCCTGGATTGTTTACTTTTTTATTGTTTGTAAGGAGAGATGGCATCTGTTCAATTCAATGTATCTTACATGTCTCCCTTTTTATTATGTTTCATGTTTTTGTTTTATTGTCGTATTTTTATCATCATTTATAACATTCAGGATTTTACACTACTTAATGTAAAATGTTCTTGTATTTGAGTCATTACTCTTTCTGTTGTAGATTTATACACTCCTTTATGTTTGCAAGATATTTTTATTCCTTGTATAATGCAGTCATTGTTCATTTTGCCCATACTTATTTAGAAAAATGTACAAAAATTAGTTAAACTTTTTGTTGGTATCATTGTCTTTATAATCAGTTTTTCATGTTTTACTCTTTGGAAGCTGAAACTGCATTATTATTTTGTTATATACTTTCCATTTTCTCTGCTTCAAAAGTATTAAGTTACCCACAGCAGAAATAATATTAAACATAATATACTGAGTATCATACCTATTTATTATGGGGAAATAGATGGTGATCTAATTCTTATGCTATTCGCAAACAATATTATCAATTGCTGTACTTGAGTTACTTTGAATTCTTGTTGCCAAATTTTCGGTATGTATCAAGTTATATGTTTTTAGTATAGGCAACTCTCAGTTTACGAACAAGTTCTGTTCCAAGATGTTCGTTATACGTTTTTGTTCAATATGTGTATCTTGCATTCCTGAGCTTTTATGATACATATTGTGTATGTTAGCAGCCATTTTAAAGCATTAAAACCATGTACTAAACATAGAATGGTCTATATGTTACATATAATTTTCTGATAATTATTGTAATAAATAAATTTTTTAACGTTTATTTATTTAAATCTTACAATTATGTTCACTATACGTTTGGCATTTCGTTTTATAAGGAACTCACTCTATTGGCGACTTTAAGAAATTTTGAATGAATTGTGACGTTCATTATAGCGAATGTTCGTAAATCGAATGTTCATAATCTGAGAGTTGCCTGTAATGAGTATTTTTTTTATTGAAGTAGTAAATTTTGTGAGTTTACATTTTTACTGTGAACCTTTGAACCAAGGTAATTGCAATCAGTATATGTTGAGCGTGTCTGTGCTTTAGATTTTGAGCAAAAAATGCAAACTCTGGAATGGGTAATGACATCATCATACTAGTTTGGCATATACATATCTCTGTTCTTCCAAAAAGACAGAGTGCTAAAATTTATTCTGGGACCACAAGAACTCTGGAAATTGTCATGAATTTTGTGTATAAGGTGCACATTTTTTAGGTTGCACATTACATAGTATATATTACAGTACATTAAAACTGATTTTGCATTAATTAAGGTTGAAAGTAGGGGAGATGTATGACTTTTCATATATGTAAGTGATTTAAAACTCAAAATATATGCAGGTATTCCATGATTTATGTGACAGTTTTGTTCTAGAAAAAAGTCAGGGTGAAAGTGCGTAAATTGAATGTAATTTTCCCATATGAATTATTACAAATGTTTGAGATTTGCTATAAAAAGAATCGGATACTTCATGCTGTTACTTGAACTGATTGTTTAGTACAGTACAGTGCATCCCTTATTTTAATAACGTTTGCCATTTTAGTATAAGTTGTATTTATAATTATTTGTTCTGATTGGGTGGGTTGGTGATCTGATGGGTGAGTCTTTGAGCTGTATCAGGAGATGGTTGAGGTGACAACCATTGTAGGATCATCATCATGCATTGAAAATGTTGATCAAGCATGTGATTGCTGTAGTAGAGAAGGAGATTAAGTTGGTTGAAAAACTTAGCAGCATTTTGCATTTATGGCCATCAGAGATGGTGGAAAAATGTCACTAGCGGTATTTGCTGTATCTGCTGCCCATGACTTCTTTAAAAAGTCATACACCTATAGTTGCTTCCCAGGCTTTTACTTTTCATTCAGCAGATGATAACAAGCCAAATCCTGTTTGGCCATTCTCAGCACTTTATACAGAGTTCTGTTTTACATTCATTGATAAAAATCCATAGCACAACTTTCTTCGGAGTGGAAGTAAAGCTGGCTGTCCCTTGTCATAGATTTATGGCATGTACTGCAGTCCCCACAGCCGGCTTATAGTAAACATGCTTGCCCGGTACCACATGTTTTAGACTGGTTTCTGTTTTGCAATCTGTTTCGTGGTTATTGTTAATGAGTGTTCAGTAATTCTGTGTGCCGACTATTTTTTGTTCTGATAATGACAATGAGCAAAGGAAGTGTATCATATAATATTTACAGCAAATTATGTTTCTAAATTGTCTTTGAGTGAAAAAAGTGATGTAATAAATCATGGTCGCCCTTTTCCAGACTTACAAATAGTTGAAACATCGTCGAGTATGTATGGGTTTTCTCCTGACGTAAATTTACTTTTCATTTATTTATATTTTTATGTGTTGAAAAAATATTCTGAGTTTTTCTCCTTGTGCAGCGCTACCACTGTTCAGACTCACGAGCTGCTACTGCTCTAGGCTGAAATAGAAATGCGTCTCCCAAACATGATGCAATGGTGTTAACCACTACCTGTCAATAGTTTTGTCAGTGCATTTGTAAGATGTACTGTTCGCAAGTGTAATCTTGAGACTTGCAAGGAATGCAGGAAGTCCAAATCGTTAAAGGCTGGCACTATCTTTCCTCCTTCACCCCACTTCCTCACCCCGTATAGCCGAACCTCCACTGTTCTTCTTATCAGCTAGCTTTCGGTCAGCATAATCATGAGGTCCTCTCAAGGATACTGATGCATTCAACGTGAAACAATTTTTGTAAAAGTTACTTATAAAAACTTTATTGAAATCTTTAGTGATACACAACGACACTGACATGCGACTGCTCTTGACCACAAATTGACCGTTAGTGACGCCAACAGTTTATGGCATGGGTGTGGTGGGAACCAAAACACCTCCACTGAAATTCCTACCAGGTTGAGCTGTCAGCCCATTGTTCTTTGTAAAATTCAAGTTTTTGAACTGACTTTCTTCAGAAATGTCCGGCTACACCCGCAAGTCTCAAGATTACAGTCGCGAACTATAGGTCCTTCATAATAGATGTCATACAAATTTTTGTTGAATTTAAGGTCCCTTTAAGTCATTGTTATGTTACCTTAGTTATGGCACTGTTCATTTGAATCCAAATTGTGAGTAAGTATAGTAAAGAGTTTACTAGTACTAACTGATTTTGTATGCTCTGGCAGCAGTATTAATTACTGAACTGTGTTTTATATTATTATAGGCATAGGATTTGATAAGGGTAGGGTGTGATTGTGGATGATTAATTGAATTGGGAAGAATGTGGAAGGGTGTTTTCATGGCCTGTGCCAGCATTTATCTGCAGGGACTGAGGAAATCAAAAGTTTTAGTTCATGACCTCCATAATATGCTACATACTGGTTTTTTGAAAGCATCAAATCCAAAGTGTAATCAGTTTGTTACTTTACTTCAAATATATGTCAGTACAACCAGTCACTGTTATTTTTCAGTGGTACTTTGACTTTTGACAATGCGGAGAAAAAGCGACAGAACAAAGGAAAAGGAAAAACCATCCCCAGAAAAAAAGACAGAGAAAGCAACGAGGCGATCACGCAGACATTCCAGGCGGAGGAAGAGGTCATCATCAGTTTCTGATCATGATGAATCTGCTACAGAAGAAAATGATACTTCAATGAAGAGTAGTCAGGATGATACGGAAGAAGAACAAAAAGATAAAAGAGGCAAGGAAGAAGTAGATCAAGATAATACTGATGTCAAGGAAAAGAATGTTCAAGATGAAATTCCAAAGTTATCTTCTAGTCGAAGAAAGAAACAGATTACAGATGGAACAGGTTCTAAAACTGAAGAAGCTTCCCTAAGTAATGATGACTGGAAGGAAGACAAATCATTCTGGGAAGGTGAAGAAGGCAAAGTGAGTATCAGTTATGAGTGTCTGCAGCTCCTTATGAAAGTTACATGCCATCCTCTTTTTCTTCAAATTATTTATTTATTAGATATTGTAGATGCGTCATATTGTGATTTATTTAAATAGTATTAAAAATATATTAAAATTAGCCGTCAATCACAATATAAGATAATTAAAAGATTAAAATATCATTTTACGTTCCTTATCGAGTACTCGATTTACATGTGGAACATATACGACATGTTTCGGCTATATATAGCCATCATCAGGTGTTATGTTATAAATCAGTAAATCATTAAAAATCAGTAAAAATCAGTAATTCAGTTGAAAAGTTTATAACATAACACCTGATGATGGCTATATATAGTCGAAACATGTCGTAAATGTTCCACATGTAAATCGAGTACTCGATAAGGAACGTAAAATGATATTTTAATCTTTTAATTATTTTATATTGTGATTGACGGCTAATTTTAATATATTTTTAATACTATTTAACGTAAAGTAAATTAAGCCATTAAGTTCCATTCAATTTTTGTACAAAATTTCATCATTGCTATCAAAGTGAAAATTTCTTCAACAATTACGTTATTGGGTTCTTATAAGACAATGTCCAGATATGCCATATATAGCATCCAACACCCATTTTTCCCCCCTGTAATTCTATTATGTTGTCTTCATTGGCAAGCTTTCTGAGAAGGTTAGCCTGCTTGCTTCATGTTATGGGTGAGGTCTCAAGCCTTGTTCCATAATCTTTGGCTAAATTTTGTTGCACATTCTACATTCTCATCTACTTCAATTAACAGTAGCTTTCATTTCACTATTAGTACCATTTTCTTATGTTTTTGAACCATTTTGCTGAAGACCCATGGGTGTTAACCATTATTTTCACCTAATTGATGCACAGTACAGTGGCAGAAAAAATTGGCTGGCCAGTCTTTCAAACTCATATCAATGTATATTCTTTCACTGGTCTTTCTTCTTTTGTGGTCTGCATTTTATTGTTATTTGACGCACTTCAATTTTTGTTGTTGAAAGTAATAATGGTTTGAAAATCAGGTTTATGATCCTACAGTTGAGTTGTTTCTCTTTCATAAAATTGAAAATATCCTAGATAATTGAAAACATTAACATCTCTTTAATATTTGTTGCTAATACAAGTTTTGTTTCTTATTTGTTTATAGTTTCTTTCCATGGTGTATTTTGAAGTAGTGTTTAAATTTTGGACTGAATTCTGCATGTCATCTTCTGAATGTATTTCATTCCTGTTAAATGTTTCTGTTGATCACAAATGTCTGATGCACTTTAGTATACATATATGCATATTTTTTGTGTTACTTTAGTGTGAAGGCACTGAACTAAGACATAAAGAAAAGGATGGGAAGAGTTCTGTGTGGCAAGTGAAGAGTTCCAATGACAGTGGAAGTAGTGGTGGTGGTGGTGAAATACAAAAAATTAAATTATGTATAGTGAGACCATCAGAAAGCTTGGAACCAAGCCCACGCAGACGAAAAAGGTATGAAATTAAAACTTGTCTCTATGTACTCTGTGTTTTTCTAAGGCAAGGCCATTATCATGTTAATGTTTTTTGAACTTCCTGTGAATTTTCATAATTTTATGGCAGGTTGAGATTTTGAGTTTTAATTATTGAATATATACAGTAAAATCTTAGTACAATGAAATTTTAGTATGCTAAAAGTATTGCATAAAAGTGTTATTGAGAATATGTTAACATGTCCTGAGCAAACCCTGTACCAGCAATGCAAGTGGTGGTTAAAAATTAAACAATACCTGTTTTGTTCACATTGTCAGATGTGTGCTAGGTGTCACATGCATACAAATGTCAACATGTGTTTTAGTCTAGATGTCAGTTAGGCGAACTGTTAAAAGTCACACATATTCTGATAATAGAACATAACACATCTAAAAAAATCTCCTAACTTCCATAGTCTCCCTACTACAAAATATTGTGTCGAATAAAGTGATTAGTGGTAACAATATTCTGTCAGTTTTTGATTGTGTGGATGAAAATCTTCCAGAAGTAGAATCTAATGGCAGTGATAATGACATTTGTGATAGTCAAGAATGTGTTAATGAAAATGGCATATCAGGCAGTGAACAGCTATATGTGGATGGCATGATATGAAATGACAAGTGAGAATTTATTTCCTTTTATCCCTAATTGGCATGATATGACATGGCATTGAAATTCTTCATGCATGTGTGCTTGTGCAGAGAACACATAATAACCTTTATCATATTGTAATAGGGGATTTAAAACCCCATAATATGGGGCTAGAGCACAGGTTTTATCTCTGGGTTTAATTGGTTTACTAGTGTGCTGCTGCAATGCATGGCCATCTGGACTGTGCATAAGTCTTGATGGATAGGTGGTAAAGGATAATTTTAATTTACATAATCATGTAAATATTAGATGGTTCATTCTAGTTTATGTTGTAATAGTGGGATGAATGTTTTTATACTCATGAATATCATTGTGAATATGTGATGTGCCATTTATTCTACATAAATGCAATAAGCTTTATAAATGGAGCAAATCTTACATTATTGTATTTTGCTTTTTACTTGTATAAATCAAAATTTTATATTATGAATATAATTTCAGTCTATAGAACTTTGTTGTACTGAGATTTTACTGTTAATTGCTGTAACTGCTGTAACATTTTCTATGTATTTTGACATGTGGCACCCTGACTTGTCCATTTATTTTGTTTGAATGTGCAATACTGGACTGGTTAAATATTGGGAGATATATTGGACCCACTTGTTTATCAGCCAAAATAACTGAACCTTGAAGATTTATAAATGATTAACTTTCTTGAGAATTGAGTAATTTTAATATTTTACATAAATAACCATAACATTTAACTACTTTGTCTAAGGCTGTCTCTCAAACGTTTATCCACTATATTATGAAATAAAGTGTTAATACAGAGCAATATCATATTAAGGATTTACTGTTTACGTTGCATCGTATATAGAATGTGTTCAAATTATGGCCAGGTTACAGTAATGAAGTTATGGATCTTTATCTTAACATTTATTTTCTGTTTACATTTTGTTCACCTTTCTCATTGTAATGTGTTATTGCAGATTGAGTAGAATGTCAAGCAGTCACAAAGATAAATCAGACATTCAAGAATGTGAAGAAGCAGATGATGATCATGGAGAAGATGACAAGAAAATGTCAGAATCATCAGAAGGAAAGCAAAATTTGCAGGAATCGTCAACTGAATGTACAAAACAGATACCATTACAGGATGATGAAAAGCTGTCATTGAGAGAATGTACTGAACAGGCAGATTTGTTGGAGGAGGCATCACAACATCTTTGTCAAGATTTGTCTGAAGAGGGGCAGCAAACAAGGTTACAAAATCAGGATCAGGCTGAGGTAGTTAATGAAATAGTAGATCAAGAATCAAGAGAAAGTGAACTAAATGTCCAAGACTCTGATGTTAAAGAAGTTACACCATTTCAAACATCATCTGAATTTAAAGGTGATATTTCATCTGAGACTTCTGGAGAGCATCACACAGCCCAGAAATTATGTGATAGGACAGTGCAACATGAGAACTCTAAAGAAGATATATCAAGTGGTGAAACACGATCAGAAGAATGTGTAATGGAACAAAAAGAAATGGAAGTGGAAGAGTCTTGCAAAGGAAAGCAGTTGGATCATGTTGCACCCAAGGAACTACAGAAGGAAGAAGAAGAAGGAAAACTGGACCTTCACAATGCAGCAGAAACAGGGTCTCAGGAGGAGTTACAAAATGTTGAGGATTCCTCAAAAACAGTAGTGGAAGATAATGAAGTAATAGTTCAGAAGTCAGAAGTTCATGATGCTGAAGAAGATAAAAACATGGCTTGTGCAGAACAGGAACAAGATTTCACTTGTGCTTCAACTGAAGGGGATGGAATATCCATAGAAGAAGTGGTAGAAAATAGTACATCTGAGGAAAGACAGAAATCAAAAAATTCTTTGGAAGGTAGAACAGAAGAACCACAAGAAGTTGCTGAAAAGATTGATTCATTTGAAGAGAGGTTAGTTGCTCATAAAGTTGCAGATCCTCTAGAAGAGGGACAGGTTCGAGAATCATCAGAGGAAAATGCTGCTGAAGTGTCAAAATCAGAGGTAAAAGTTAATGACACACATTCAAAAGAGGGCACTAAAGATTTGTCAAAGGACAGATCAAACAAACAAACTCCAATAAAACGTGTTTTCCTGGAAGAAAGGTCCCGGTCTCGTGACTCATCTGAGGAGAGACCAAGAAATGAAATGAAGAAACGTAGACAAAGCAGAGAATCAAATAGTAGCTGTAGCTTCAGCTCCAGTCCTGGGAAGCAGACACATCGAAGGGGTGATAGGGAGTCTAATCATCGGAGTAGGATTCAGGACAATGAACATTCGGATAAACATAATATGAAGAGGGAGAACAACAGGAGCACTAGTTCTGATAGACAATATGGCCGGCACACTCGTAGGAGGTCTCAGACTCCTCAGCATCAAAGGGAGAAAATTTCACTCAGGAGATCTTTGTAAGTTCTGTCATAGATTATGAAATTATCAAGGCATGTGCAATTCTTCAATTTATGTGATTGAATTAAGAAACAATATCTCTTTCTTGATTGTTTTTTCAGTGTTGAAATAAGTTCAGCTTGAATATGGGGCTGGCCATCATGGCTTGTACTGAATTGTGTGGATTGTGGAATTTGTGTTAATGTCTGTACTTTACATGCACTAGTTTTATGCATTCATTTTTAAGAAATGGAATGATTAATATCTGTGGATATTTTTGTGTTACAGCTCAAGGCAAAGTAATTCACATGCAGGAGAGAAGGGTGGTACTGAAGACTCAGTGAAAGAAGTTGATGCATTGGGTGGTGATACTCACTTACACATCAAAGAAGAAAAAGTATGTTTATTAATAACTTTCTGGGTTTGAAACTTGAATTTAGGTACTAAAACTAGTCATTAGACCTGTTCATGAATCATTTAAATCCACTGTACACTGTGCAAGTGAAATGGAGCTTTTAAAATTTTCTAAGTCTGAAGCTGGAAGTGATGGAAATGTACTGCTGGTGTCATAATTTCAGTCATTTGTAATCACCTTGTCCATATGTAACCATTATCTCTTCTTCTTCTTCTATGGCTCTCCGGTCCGTATTTGATCCATGGCCTCCTCAATTCTCCTCTTCCATTCAGTCCTCTGTTAGGTCCATCTGTCCGAGGCTTTGATTGAGATTTCGAAATATCTTCCTTTTTACGGTGCAAGGTTGTTAGCCTTGCGACCAACCCCCAACCTGGTTGACCAGGATACCTGACCTCTCCCCCTTGCCTAATCTGGCTAGGGAGGCCCTACCAGTAGCTATGCTACCGCCAGAATAGCTCTTGGGATCACTGAGGTACTCAAGCCCCATCACCACGACAAGGTGCAGGTACCATTAAGTGGGGGTAACCATTATCTACCTTCCATTAATTTCAGTTATTTGTGCCTGATATCTATTAAATAAAAGGATCAATATATCTGCCTAATTTGAAGAAAAACGTGGTTTTATGAGACGTGTGACTAGGTTCCATGGGAAAACAAAGATGAAGGCTATACTTTGTATGGAGATCCATATTTGCTAGCAGACTAGTGGTTTGTGTAGGAGTATGCTATTGATGTGAGGGTCTGACATGAGAGTTATAGTCCTAATATCAGCATGTTTTTTTAATGCATGTGCTGTATTTGCACAGTCATTTAAATTGTGCAGTTGTATGTTATTCAGCTATATGTTTAAAACATTCCATGTGGGACTCATACCAAGAGCAACTGGAATTGGATTCTGAGGTATGTTGATTCTAATATTCAAAAGAGATTGTATATTATTGTTTTTCTGTAAAGCATACATAGTATAATAACTTTTTTGAGTAAAAATCGGTCATCAATATTATCATCCACATTATAACTATGCTCTTTGTGCTACATTGGGAAGTATAGAAATGTGAAGGAAGCAGCCCCCCCCCATGATTTGTTCATTGGTATTCTGATTTGAAGGAAGTCACTTTGAATCTGACTAAACTAGCACTTTTTTAATATAAAACTTTTTTGTTTCTTAACATATCACAATTACTTATACAAAATATGAGGTCATGTGTATCTTACTTTTTCTTATTTCTTTTTAGGAAAATGTCCGGAAGACATCAGAACAAACAGGTAAAACAGCTTGAAACTTTCCATGGTAAGGTAAATGTGCCTTATGTGCTATGCCATAAAGGCAGATAGGAAGCATGAATGTAAAGTTTCATGCATTCTTAGATCTTGTCACTTAACTTATAATGCCACTGCCCTTTATCCATTAAACAGGATACTGTGTAAACTTGAAGTTACTACATATCAGTGGGATGGTTCTAGTTCATTATGTAATGTAACATTTATTGTACAGTAATAGGGTACTTAAATCCCAAATTATGAGAGGTTGCCAGTGGACTTATATCGGGGGTTAACAGTTTAGTGGTGTGCTAGTGCAGCACATGGTTAACTAGAGTTTGCGTAAGCAAAAATGTGTGGTTGTTAAAGGTTAATTTAATGTTGATAAACGATATAATATTGATGAACTCCACAGTATTAGATCTTGTTTGAGCAGTCATTCTGCTTTGAAAGAAATGTTCACAAAAACATGCCACAAGATCCAAGTCAGTTTACACCTTTACATTCTCTAAGGTTTATTTTATTTATCATTCTGTCTATACCCAGATAAACCAAGTAGCTCTTTCCTTTAAGGTATTCCAATATTCTGTATGCTATACTTGTTTTCTCATGTGTTCACTGATAAGCTGGAATACAGCTACCTCTTACCAGCTTCTGGCAGGAACTGCATGACTTGCTACCAAGCACTACAAGATTTTCCCAATATGAGTCAAGTATTGCACCATAAAACAGTAAAACCAACTCACCTATTTTATAAGAGGTACTGAAAACGAAGTCCCTCTACATGCACACACACTGTACCATTTAAATGGGTTAAAATTCACCTGAAGGTTTTCCAGAGGAACATCAAACATTTCTGTTTGTATGTTTTCCTTTAACTTTTTCCATTAGGAGGTTCATTGTGCAGACTTTGTCCTAATTGCCTTATAAAGAAAAGTCTGATGATATAAAATCAGGTTAATGTGTTGGCCATAAACCATGACATATTAATCTGTCACCAAACACCCCTTCCAAAGCTGTTTGAAAATCATCTGCAGTGTGGGCAGTTGCTCTGTATACTTTTTCTTTGGTAAGCAGATGATATTTTTAGCAGGTTTCTTATTCATAAGTAACCCAGTAGGCCTGACATTTAATAATTTTATGGGTGCCTGTTGTGCTTTGAATTTGTGATGAAATTTTCTGAGACACTTTCAAGCAGAATTGTATTTCACATATGATTTGTGCAGAGAGAAACAGTTTAACAATATGTTGAACCATATCCACACACACAATAATAACCAGTACTTAACACAGTGATAGACAACAATTGTAATGTGTGAATAATTCTTGTGGCATTTGCTGTTAGCTCCTTAGCTGAGGAATGCAGTTCCTGCCACAGAAGGTGGGTGGCTGCTAGCAGAGTTGGTGCTTCACCGGGGTGATGGAGGGGTGTTGTATTGGGGTTTGACTGTATGTATAATTTTGGTATGCACCTAGTACCTGAATGGTTATTGATGTAACTCTTCAACAATTACAGGGACATCTCAGGAACCATCTCAAAATTTAACCCGTAGGCGCAGATGGGGAGCTGGCAAAACAAGCAGAGCTGGGAAGAAGCCAGTACTGTCTATATCAACAGACTCCCTGAAGGTATAACAGTGCCCATCATTTGATCATTATGCATAGAAGTCCCTATTTAGTCTCTTCACTGTTCATGAAATATACATGTCAGCAGGGCTTTACTAATTGTGGATGGAAGGTTGCCATGACATCTAGAAACAGTGTTGAGGATAGTAATTTTTAGGTTTGTCCTTTTTTTTCTTTTTAGAAATTCCTAGCTCAGAAATGTTTGCATTATGGCAGAGGAGTCAGACTCCCTAGCTGCCTATTGTAGTATCTCATCTAGCTGGGGGGACTATATCCCACCATTAGCTGCATTTATCATGGCTTAGTGATGGGGCTGCAACCCAGAACCCTGCCACTCTTGTTATATCATTGCCGATCAGGGTGATGTGAGCACCACTACTAAGGCAGGTGGAATATATAGTTACTTTTTAACTTTGGTTCTGAAGAACAATATACTTTAAATGTCTCTGAAAAAGAACCAAGAACACTGATGATATTATCACAACAATTGAGGCATGGTGTAGTAGAAGAAGCAAAAACGGATACATTAATTCAGTTCATTGTTTCTAAAAGTGCATTGAATTGCATTATGTACCTCATATTATATATCACAAACCAGCTTTGTCATAATTTGGCCATTTATTGACTTTGTATGTTCGCATATTTGACTTTGTATTAAAGAAGATAACACTCCTACTTCATATTTGGCAAGTCTCACATTAAAATATGTATCTGGAGGGCAGATTGAGAATTCTTGTGTTTTTTTAGTAATTCCATTTAGACACTTTAATTAGTACCTGGAAGTAAGCCACACTGCTTCCTTCTTCAGCCTTTCCAATATATCATTCACAAATTTTTCCATTTAATGGTACATAAAAAATAATTAAATTCCAGTCTAAGGGAAGAGCATGGGTAACTGTTTGTGGAGGTCATAAAAAGCTTTCGAAGGTTAAGCAAGAACTAGAAAAATGTAATCTATCCATTTCAGTTATGCTGTCCCTTTAAATGCTCCACAAAGTTAATATTGAATATAGGTGTTCTCCATAGCATCTTCAAAAGGTTATTTAATTGTTTCTATTTTAATTTAATTTTATGTATTTAAATTGTTCAGGTATGAAACAATATTTTTCACCACTGCTGGAAATAATTTTTGCCTCCATGAACAGGGAAAATTATGTATGAATCTGAAATTGGGGAATTTTTTCAAAGGCATGTCTGTGGCAGAATTCAGAAAAACAACATTGCGTCTATATCTAACAGCCATTCCATAGGAATGTGGAGGTGAAGCATATAGTGTTTAGACCTGGGCACTAGAAGTGATTGGTTTCACACTCAGTTTGTTGTACCACTTAGGAATGAGCTCCGTATATCCACTGAATAGGATGCTGTGTGAGCTCATAGCTGTTGAGGTGGTTGTGGTAGAAATGTAAATTCTTACCTCTGCTGTGAATTGAATCCCAGTCATCCATTGTCTATGTAGTACTTCACTGACTGAGTTATCACATCTCATTATGGCAAGGTTAGCATTTGAAAGTTTGAGTGTACAGCACAGATTTTATGTAATTCTTTATTTATTAATCTTTGTTTAATGTTTCAGAACTTAATTCCAGGAGCAAAGCCAGTTCCTGTAAATGAGGTGCAGTTATCTCAGGAGGAGGAAGATAGGCGAGAAAGAGAATCTGAAGAGCATGAGAGAGATGAAAGTGATAAAAGGGAGAAGTCAAAAAATAAAGACAAGGATAGAGATACTCAAGAAATTGTATTGGATAAAAGATGTATGGCTCCCTTGTCTGTTTCAGAAGCTCATAAGATCAATGTGGCTCTAACTGATGATCATAGAGGTAACAACTCATGATTTTTTTATTTCTGTTGTATGTTTTAACATTTTTTTATTTTGCTATCCTGTTTTTCTTTTTAAGGAGACAGCATCTTCCCTGAAGACATACTTTTTGTTGGAAGATAATTATAATGAATTATGGGTTTTATTACTCATAATTTTGTGATCATCCTCAGATACAGCTTGTAGGGTTACCAATATGGTTATTGTTATATTTGCTTCATCATCTTTTATTAATAGGAAGTTTATGGTGGAGTGAAATGTCATCAAACCTTTCAGCATAATCATCATCCATGAATATTGACATTTGTAGGTGGTCACTTTGCAGAACTACACAATCTTTCCTCTTGAATTTGTCTTATTTAATTCTTGTTCTCAACAGGCTTCTAAATTCAGCCTCAAGTGGGAGGAGGGTGACACTGAGGAAGAATGACTCAGAAAAGCCACCATTTATGTCAATTTTCCTTTGGTAAAATTAACACGAGATTTAATTTCAGGTAAAGTTGTCACCCGCAAGATATCAATTGTGTCGGATGATGCAAGGACACTGCAAAACTCACCAAGTCCACCAAGACATAAAGCATCAAATGTTTTGTTTATTTCAAACTTGGTGCGTCCTTTCACTGTTAATCAGCTCAAGGAACTTTTGGCTCGTACTGGCAATATTGTTGAAGGTGGATTCTGGATAGATAAAATCAAGTCAAAGTGCTATGTTCAGGTATGTTTCGATTGCTGAAATTTCACAAAACTATGAATCTGTAATATTAATTCCTAGTTGCACATCATTGTATTTACATATTCACATTAAATATTGCACTTTTAAGACTAGCATTCTTAGCTTATATGCATTAATTTTATTATTATTAATACTGAATCTTGTTCAGTATAGGTGTAGAATTCTTCGCAGTAAATGCCTGCTTCATCTGCTTGTAGTTATACTTGAGTTCAAGTTCCTGTTATGTCTATGAAAATAGGTCAAGACCAGTGAAATTACTACATCAGCTAACTTTATTAGCTGTTAAACACCTTACAAATTCAATGGATGAATATGCTACCAGTAGCTGTCAGGCCAGGAGCAGTCATAATAGTGGGTCACTGAGATTATGGTACACAAAAAGACTGACATACTTTGTGATATTGCTAGACCCCAATGCATGACATTGAGTAGTAATCCAACTCGCACACACATGTGCAACATGGTTTCTCCTATCCCAGAAGTTATTCTCTGCCCTTACCTAGGGATCAAGAAGTTCAATGTACAACATACGTGGAGGCATTAGATGCAGACATGTTTTGTTTGAGATAGCACTTTAGTTTGTTGCTTTTACATTGTACCTTGGCTTTTCAGTATGAAACAGAAACTGAAGCACGAGAGACCAGGCATGCCCTTCATGGAGTTCGATGGCCTGTGTCAAATCCAAAACAACTTTGTGTCGATTTTGGCAAGAAAGAAGACATGGACTTGGCACAAGCACTGACTGAAGAGGACCAGATACCAAGAAAAACAGAGCCACTTAAAGTGGAGCGGACTGTCGAAGGTTGGGTTGCTGAGCAAGTCAGGGAGAAGGAGAGAGAGTGGGAATTGAGGGAGCAGGAGCGAGAAAGGGCACGGATGAAGGAAAGACCTCATCATGTCATTCCTCCCATGGAAGCACTTGAACGAAATAGGAATGTGAAGGTATACCTAGTTATTACATTTTCATTAATTTGAAAGTGGAGAAGTAGGTGGAAGTTTATTGGCTTAATTCCTAGGTAAGGAGAAGAACCAGTTAAATACATATGCACTCGGAAGTCTGTCATTGGTTTGCTATTTCAGTACAGTGAAATCACATTGAAAGAAAACAGTTTTGTGCTGTTTACTTTATTAAAAGGATATTTTTTCATGTTGATTAATTTAATCACAAAAGATATTTTTAAATATTTTTTTATAATTTCTGTCCAACTGCCTGTGTCTAAATTTTTTTGTTGATGGACCATTTTCAAGGAAATAAGCATCTTTTTTAATTTTACAGTAACTGTAAACAAACTATATTTAAATTATCATAATTGCTTTTTGTTTGAGATCCCATACGGCTCTTTGATATTCCTTGAACGTGCAAACCTTTCCAAGCCCAGATTAGTTTATTGTACTTTTGAAGCTGTCAAGACTCATTCTAACATTGGACTTATCTTCATATTAGAATGAGTTTAGCATGTGGCCCCACTTGATGTCCATTTATTTGAAAACATGACAGGCTACCAGCACCAGTTTCCATTTTTTTATTAATGAACCAGAACATAGTTTTCTATATGTTACGTTGAAAGATTTTAACATTTGTGTAAATTATCCTTGATTTAATATTGAAGATTTTCATAAGTTTAAAGTTTAGAACATTTATGTTTATGATATTTGTCTTTTCTAGATGTCGGCGAGTGTCAGAGAATGGGACTTGGGTAAAATAGGTCAGTTGTCACCTGCTGAGAAAGAACCAAAGCATGAAGAGAAAAACAAAGAACGAGAAAGAAGAGTGCGGAGAGAGAAAACTCGCCATAGCAGAAGCCCTTCCCCTCATAATGTACCTGGTAATACATCTTGCAGCCCTTACGTGTTACAGCATGTTCTTAATAAAGAATATCAAATTCATGTTCTCTGTCATCTGGAATTAGATTTGTGTAATCCAAACTGTGTATTCTAAGCTGTTAGTTTGTTGCATTAATGAAAATAATATTGTTGCGATTTTAAAGGAAACAATAAGGAAATGCATGCTTGTAGTTAAGTTTCTTTTATCTGAATCTTGAAATGTAAGATGAAAGATTTTATTTAGTCTGTACTGGATAGCACTTAAGCTGGAATGCAATAAAATGGAGATACACAAGGAAGTAAATCACATAAGTGATATAACTTATGTGTTGTTCCAGAAAAGCACACAGTGGTGACATGATAGAGAAAATGATTTTTTGTCTTTCATGATATAGTCGGCGCAGTAGTTTTTGGCCGGTGGAATTTTCAACCGGAAGGCTAGGAGCGAGTCATTTGTGCGATAGTATAATGCTGACTGCACCAAGGAGCTTATCGGACTGAACCCCAAACAAGAGAAATACACTGACCGTGCCGCTTTAGGTACACAGAGTAGGCCCGTCCGCTAGCTTTTCCACCGGTCAAAAACTACTGCGCCGACTATACATAGCGATTGGAAGGTTAATTTACTTAAAACTTGGTGATTTAATACTGACATGCTACATCTATCAATTATGAATTAATATATTTCTTCACCTTGTCCAGCTCGGAAACAAAAAAAGAAGGAAGAAGATGCTCCTGCAAAACTCTTGGATGATTTATTTAGAAAGACTAAATCCACTCCCTGCATTTACTGGCTACCTCTCACTGCCGAACAGGTATTTTAGTTGTTTTGTTCACATAAAACATTATGTCGGTAGAAATTAAGTAATTTCCTATGAAAGCCTGAATCAATTTGCTAGCAGATCTTTTTTATGTACTGTGATTAATTTTTAGTATAAAATTTTTAATAATTTATTGCAGAATGTTGTTCATGCAACCATGTATTGAATATTTGACATGCAGAATTTTGACACCACAACACAGTAAAAACTTGAATAATTCAGAGTTGTAGGGAATGGGTAGTCTGAATTTGTGAAAAGCCTGAATTGTATAACATAATTATATGTAAATATTTCCAAGTTATAATTCATAAAAACTAGCAAATGTATTATTAAATTCTCAACTGAGGAAAGTCTATTATGCCTAAATAAACTACAGAAAAATCAGACAGTCTACATTACAGATGGCCTGAATTAGTGAAGTCTTACTGTAAGAAATGGTGTACATTCTTTATATTTGTCACTTCCTGGAAAGGTGTGTTCTGGTTCAGAGTACACAGATTTTGCATATGTGTTTTCAATTTTTCGCTGTTCATTGGTTGTGGTATACTTTTATTACAGATCTGATCTGTTATGTTTAGAGCTATTGAACAATAGATACACCACATTGCTGGATCATAAATAATTTCTTCTTTATAATGTGTTTACCTTTAGTTTTTTTTATTCTACAATCCTACGGATTGGTTGCCACCCCATTACAGGGTTAGTCTTGCGAAGATACCACTGTGGTTTCGCCTTGCCTTCCGTGGCCAGTCTTTATCCAACAGACTGGAAGAGAAAGGACACGGACAAACATCCGTGCCTTGAGTGGGACTCGAACCCACGGTCGCAGCAGTCAGGCGCACGAGGATCATGCCTCAGACCGCGTGGCTACTGCGGCTGGCACCTTTAGGTTATGGGAATTAAAATTTGAAGACGGCTGTCTTCTAGGTTGTTTCACTGTTTGGTCTGGTAGAAGTTTAGCAACGTTTCAGAGGTCCTTGCTGCCTTGAAGACAGCCATCTTTGGACTCACTGCCAAGAAAACACCAGATCTTACAAGTTCAAATTTCCTTGTGCAAGTTGAACATCTTTGGAATGATATTTCACTTGTATTTTGTGCATGCTATTAGTCACATCATTCTAAACTAGTTTATGCAAGCTTTTAATGTACACCATTCATATTTTATTGTTTACACTGTATTTCAGATTGTTGTGAAGGAAGAGATGCGCCGTAGGCATATGGCTGAACATGAGCGCAGAATGGCTGAGATGAGGAAGGCAGAGAGAGAACGTCAACGCGTTAGAGCTCAGCAACGCCAACAGAGGCGAACAGGAGAGAGGGATAAACGAAGAAGAAGGACTGCTAGTGGCAGTCCTAAGAAATAATTCAGTGATAGAAAGTACTTGAATAGTCATATGAAGAGTTAGTTGCATGATGCAACATGGGAGTGACGAGAGGCGTGCGACTAGATCTACCGAGCCGTCTTGGAACTTGATACCATCCCCTTGGCATATTCGGAATTATAACTGCCAAGGAGTCAGTTACGTCAGCTCATGCTCGGCAGTTTTTGCAAAATGGTCGGTTCTTATGTGAAATTTACTTTTATCTTACATGACCTGTTTGGTCATTTTCTTTATTTAATCACATTTTCACAGCAGAGTTGTCAAAATTAAATTGCTTTTGGTAGTTATAAAATTTGTTTGTAACTTTGTGCAGTTACATACGATTTTATGAATATTGAGTTAATAGAGATAACCGTTCATCTGGAAGCCGCGTATTACAGCTATTACCTTGAGATTGCACATAGCTTGTTGGTACATATGAAATTAGTTAATCCATTACGACAGGTTGGTATAAGTAGTTCCTTTTCCATTTAAAACACCCACTTTGCATGCTAACTTCCATACTAAATCACATTAGTAGTTTCATGTTTTTTCATAAGATTTTATCTTTCCCATTTAAGATTGATCCTTTGACATCTTTGAATCCTTTTCCAATTTTGCATTGCAGGAGATAAAGCATTTTCTTTCCAGGT